AGCCTGGAGAGCTCGGCGGTTGGGGGTTCGAGTCCCCCTCTGTGGGAAAAGCGGCAGCTCACGGTGGCCCCAGGGATGCCCCTTTCAGGAGGACGGAAGGGGAGACCCCTTCTGAGTAGCCTCCACCTGGAAAACTCTGCGGAAGGTCGCCGTAAGCCAGAATTGACTTGGTGGGACGTGGTGATGATGATGATGATGATGAGGAGGAGGCCCACCTTTGCGCTACCGCCTTTATTTCTGCCCCCTCTTCTCTCCCACCCTTTTCCTTCCTTTCCTCTTGTCTGCCTGCCCCCCCTCGCTGCCCGTCCATCCACGCCACCCCTTCTCTCTCTGCCCTTCTCCCTTTCTTTCCAGCTTCCCATCATCTTTCCTCTCTTTCTTGCCTCTCTCAAGGTGCTCTCTTTCTTTCTTTCTTTCTTTCTTTCTCTTGCCCGCCCTCTTTTCTTCCCATCACTCTCTTCTGCCAGGGGAGCCTACTCTGAGCAGTTTTGATGAAAAGCCCCTGCCCACCTTAGGTGTTTGCATTACAGGGGCAAACATCTTAACCCATCCGGTTAGACCACACAGGGCCTAGATTCAGTTTATAGTAAGCTGATCTAGAGGTGACCAGATCGTCTGACACCTTTTTGAAGATTAAAGCTAAGCAAGAGGGAAAATCATAGGAGGCCAGAGCTGATGAAGAAGGACAGTCTTCACTTTTTTCATAAAAATCCCCTTTCTGTAGATTTTACCTCTCCCTTGCTAACAGTAGCCTTGGCCAAGGACAGAGTTTAAGTTGGCCGTGGGGCATGACGGAGAGGGTTAACAGAGAGGTCGGTGGGGGCAGGATCCAGATTGCCTTCTCTCCTCCCCCCCCCGCCCCCCCGGCTAGTCGCAACTCGAGAGAAAGATGCGCAGAGCGCTGATCCCAAGTTTTCCACTAAGGTAGCCACCTAGGTTCATATGCTGAGCGGGGCAGCCACAAAGCAGAAAAGAACCAGCCTTGACTCTGAGTGCCACTAAGGTAGCCACCTAGGTTCATATGCGCAAAGCAGAAAGGAGCCAGCCTTGATTCTGAGGCTCTGTGTGTGTGTGTGTGTGTTTATGTGTGTGCAGTTTATTTTATTTTTTAAAATCCTTCCTGTTAAATAAGCCTGCAGGAACGGACAGGCACAGGGCATGAGCAAAACATTTCACCTGCATTAATCACTAGGCTTAAAGTTAGGCCAAGAAAGAAGCAGGCAAAAATCTGTAGCCTGGTTTTCTTTACTAGTCCATAAAAAGGATAAATCAGCGAGGAGTTTATTCCCAAGCAGTCTTACAGCCATGCAGGCCAAGTCTGTACATGCTTTTACTCAGGCAGTGCAGTGCGGTGGTCAGTGCACTGGACCAAGATTAAGGCGTTCGGATAGAAATCCATGCTCAACCCTCGAAATCCTGCATGATCTTTGGTGAGCTGTGATCTCTCAACTCAGCCTACCTGGCAGGGTTGCTGAGGGGAGGAGAACAGGGAGGAGAGAAATCTTGGGGAGAGATTAGTGCTGGGCATAATGGACTAGATGGTCCTGAGGATCTCATTCTGCATCAGGCATCCATCCTACACTCAATGTGCCCCTGCTTTCTTGGGGGGGGGGCTTCCTGTGGGCCTCGAAGAGGGACCCCGGAAATCAAGCCCCAGGTTCTGTTTCTCCTCCTTCCAGTGAATCCCTGGTCATTTAGTGATTCGGCAGAACTTTGGCCCATAAATAAGACCGGACTGAACGGACCAGGGATCTCGCTCGGTGCAGGGGGAGAAGGTCCAGACTCCCAGCAGTTTCCAAAGAAGCTGCTCTGTTCATTTGTCTCACCGTGTTGACAAAAAGTGTAGAGAAGAAAGAAGGGGAAGAAATGGGACAGACTATTGAAAGATGGGACACATTCGTTTCAGTGTGAGCTTTGGTGGATTGAATCCCACTTCTTCGAGCCCCGTATTTGTATACTCTTAATGCAGATGTTGCACAACTGTTGGGTCGGACGAGGGGATCCCCCTTCACCCGCTCCAGCCTTGCTGGTTTGTGGAATCCTGGGGGGGGGGTTGTCATCCGAAAGGCAAACCTTTCCTTTCTCATCCATAATAAGACTGCAGAGGGAGGTGTCTCCCTTTGAGCCCCCTGGCACCGAATGGAAGGCTGCTCCGGCATCATCTTTCTGGGGAGCTCAGAGAGATCTGCTGGGCCCATAGCGTGGAGGGTCAAAACAGCCAAAATCCATGAAGCAGCAGCAATACGACAAGCATATGCCACAATACAGAGCCCAGTTTCCCCAGAGCTGTGATTATGGTCACCGAGGCCCACAGAGTGTCTGAGGGAGTTTTGTGAACACTTGTTACCTTCCTTGCTCTCTGCAACAAAGCTTGGCCTTCCAGGTGCCATTGGACTATAGCTCCCATCATCCCTCACCATTTGCTGTGCCTGTCAAGGCTGATGGGGAATTGTGGAACACCGGGAGGACTGCCGTGGCCCAACCTGCTCTAAAAAAACACACCTCTCTGACCTTGCATTCTTCAAATATATTTGGATGACAACTCCCATCATCCTCAGCCAACTAGCATGCACTGTGTACCCATGTAGGGTCCAGCACCTTTATCAATAGTGCCATTTAGCTCCAAAGGTGTTTCTTGCATTCCCAAGACTTTTGCAACCCCCACGGCATTCCATCAAGTGTGCAGGATTATTGGCCAGAATCCTGTCAGGGGTTTACAAACATGGAAGTGTAATAGCAAAATCATGGCAGCAAGTTGTTACTAATTCACGAGTGGCTGCTTACCATCCGGGTGGCACAGCAAGTCACATGACTGGCAGGTTACTAGGTATATGAGCAGCCGCTCATTAATTAGCAGCAGTTTCTTACTTCAAGAAACACAATCACACTCACACCAGGTAAAGCCCCATGAGGATTATTGCCATTGTTGTTGACATTGTCATAGCTGTCATTGTTGTTGTCATTGCTGTCATCATCATTAGCAACCATAGCATCCTCTGCTCAATGTACATTCAAAGCAATTTGTAATAAACCCAGAGTTTGGAAATGTAACATGTTGGAATGAAATTTCCTAGAATCCTCTAGCCTCTGTGGCCTATGCCCATGCGTGCTGGGGAAACTGGGAGTTGTAGTCCAAAATAGGTAAACTGCCACCCTCCAAATAAAACCTTAGCAGCAGTCAAGTGCCACCCCTTCAGGAGCCTCTCGACGCGACCTCCAACGTGACTGCTAATGTGCTGATCAAGAAAGAGGGTTGCTTGGGACCCTTTGATTCTAGAGCAACCCTTAAGTCTCAAATCTCCTACAAAGACCAGACTTTTAAGAGGTATCACTGGTAACCCAGCATGGATAGGGGATGGCATGGCGTAGCAATAACCCTAGAAGTGCAGGGTGGGAGGGACCCTGTAGCTCGTCGCATCCGACCCCATCAAGGAGGCACAGCGGGGAAATCGAACTCCCAACCTCTCATTTTGCAGCCGGAGACCGAGATCCCCAACGGTTCCTTGGCCATAGCAAGCCATGCTGCAACACTTTGGTGCAGAGCCCATTTGTGTGCATGTCTATTCTCTTCATAACCATTCCCTTCTACATGTTGGGCCTGTTGACGTGATAGGAAAGCACCCATAGTTTTGTGCTGCCGAATGGCTTCGTTCCTGGATTAATGCTTTCAAGGACAGACTGTCCGTTAGCTAAGCAACGCCGTGTCGCTTGATAGGCTGGGCAGCTCGGCTTTTTCAGGAGGAGCCGAGTCACAAGAGCAGACTCTATTCCTGGAATGAACCTGGCATACAGTTTCAAGTGGGGTGGCATGGAGATAAGCCATGCGGCCGAATGAGCTGCAATGGGGTTTGGTTAGCCTTGCGCATGCCACTGGGAACAACTGGGTTATTCAGAGAATGGCTTAGGAATGGTGGCTTTCTTGGACTACAACTCCCAAAATCCCCCGGGATGACCTGCTTTCCCAAGCTATGTCTTTGACACCGGAGTTTAAATTCCAGGCCCATGTGTATGGTCCACTGCAGAATATTCAGCACTGTAAAAGGATTTTCCGTCCTTGCCTTTGTGCACCATGATTTTAGGAGAATCAGATGAGAGGTGACTTTTGTTTTGTTTGTTCAGTCGTTTAATCGCGTCTGACTCTTCGTGACCCCATGGACCAGAGCACGCCAGGCCCTCCTATCTTCCATCACCTCCCGGAGTTGTGTCAAATTCATGACCATGATTTTAGGAGAATCAGATGAGAGGTGACTGTAGGCCAAACCAAATGTAGTGTTGTGATTGCACGTGCAAGTGGACCAGAGCACGCCAGGCCCTCCTATCTTCCATCACCTCCCGGAGTTGTGTCAAATTCATGTTGGTTGCTTCGATGACACTGTCCAACCATCTCATCCTCGGTCGTCCCCTTCTCCTCTTGCCTTCACACTTTCCCAACATCAAAGTCTAGAGGTGACTTTAGGCCAAATCAAATGTAGTGTTGTGATTGCACGCGCAATGGGAAATAACGTCTCTCAAAAACCACTCACAGATTTTCCGTGTAATTGTCCCTGCCAATTTAAGTTTTGCATTTAAGTTCCCACTGACCTCCCTGTCTATCTCTGTGTGTGTGTGTTTAAAAAAAACCCCAAGACATTTCCATTTTAGCTTTTTCTTCTTTTTTCTTTTAATGATCATCTACAGCAATGGTCCCTAACCACTGGGGATTTTCACACTTCCCTAGAATTTACACAGGCTTTTTGTGCAGTTTTA